ACGGTGGCGTAGTCGTTAAAAGCTACCGCTGCTAACCAGCAGTTCGAATCCACCAGGCACTCCTTGGAAACTCTATGGGGCAGTTCTACTCTGTCCTATAGAGTCGCTGTGAGTCGGAATCGGCAATGGGTGTGGTTTTTTTTATAGGGTCGCACTATAGGACATGTTATCAAGAGAGATCAGTCCCTGGAGAAGGACATCATGCTTAGTAAAGTAGAGGGTAAGCGAAAAAGAGGAAGACCCTCAATGAGATGGATTGACACAGTGGCTGCAACAATGGGCTCAAACATAGCAACAATTGGAGTATCGCGCAGGACTGGGCAGCGTTTGGTTCTGTTATACATAGGGTCGCTATGAGTCGGAACCGACTTGATGGGAATGGATTTGGTTTTTTTATAGGGTCTCAGGGGCCCTGGTGGCGCAGTGGTTTAAGAGCTCAGTTGTTAACCAGAAGGTTGGCAGTTCAAATCCACCTGCTGCTACTTGGAAACCCTATGTGGCCTTTCTACTCTGTCCTATAGGAGCTATGAATCGGAAATGCGTTTTTTTTTTTTTTAGGTCAGTGAGGCTGTCGTATGAGTTGAAAGTGACTCCACAGTAATGGGTTTGGTTTTTTTACATGCCAAGAATTGTGTACAAATACCAGCTGTACAAATACAATCATTCTTTAGAAAACAACACCAACAAAAAACTCAAAGTCTAGTAGAGAGAAAGGTTAACTCAGGGTGAGAGGTGAGACATACAGATCAGTAACTACCATTGAGTCGATTCTAACTCGAGCATGCTTCTAATTTAGGCCCAGTTGGGATGGATGTTCCAGGAGTATGCCAGCAGCATTGGTGCCACCTGGGAGCTTGCTATATGCAGAATTTCAGGCCCTGCCCAAAATCTACTGAATTTATGCTGCATTTTTAATAAAATGTTGAATAAATGGCATACTCATTTAAGTTTGAGAAGAGTTCAAATTTGCACTGTCCTGTATTAGCCCTAGCCACGTATGCTCATTTAAATTTAAGATTTAAAAAAATTAAATCAAGTTAAAAGTTCATTTCCTCAGTTGCACTATCCACACTTAAGTGCTCAATAGCCACATATAGCTGTTGTCCTTGTTAGTTGCCATCAGGTGGATTCCAACTCATGGAGATCCTATGTGTGCAGAGTAGAAGTGCTTCATAGCGTTTTTAAGCCTGTGCCCTTTCCGAAGCAAACTACCAGGCCTTTCTTTCAAGATGCCTCTCTCTGGGCGGGCTCAAACCACCAACTTTTCAGTTAGTAGTCCAGTGCTTAACCATTTGTGCCACCCAGGAACTCTATCAATATAGTAAGTGGCTGTCTATTGCACAGTGCAAATATAGAACATTTCCAACATTGCAGAAAATTCTATTGTGCTGTGCTATTGTAGAGGATTCCTTCTGAGTCAACTCTACTCAAGACTGAGGAAAGGAGTGTGGTAGCTATCTGAGAATGAGGCTGACTGCAGGAAGTGAGGATTGGAATATTTTGGAAGTATATAACAGAATTAGCCACTTTCTCAGTATACAAAATATCACTGACAGAGAGAGGGACATGTAAAAAGAAATCAGAAATTTCAGAGAGAGCAATGCCTTTTTAGGAAATAAAAGTAATAAACATAGTTTTGTTTGGATGAGAGTTTCAAATGGAAGAGTATCCTCAGATGAGGTCATCTGGTAGGAATTTAAAGCAGATGTGATTTCTCATGGTCCTTCTGAACATATAATTCTAACACAATACTCTGTCCACCATATAACCCAACCCAACCCAACCCAAACCAAACCAAACCAGCTGCTGTTGAGCTGATTCCTATAAGACAGAGTAGAACCACCCCATAGAGTTTCCAAGGCTGTAATCTTTATGGACGCAGATTACCAACCACATCTTCCTCCTGTGAACTGGGCTGGTGTGGGTTCAAATTGCTAACTTTATGGTTAGCTGCCAAGGTCAACCACTGTGCCACCAGGACTACCGTCTGCTATGGAGTCCATACATAAATATATATATATATATATATATATATATATACACACACACGCATACACAATATATATATATATATATATATATATATAGTCCTTTTTGAGAGTTATTCTCCTTAGTCATTTTTTTTTCTTAAACCTTTGGAATGCACTGATTTTTGGAATGCTTAAGCAGTCTCTGTGGGTTGACCTGGTGGCTATTACCTAAATCTCTTACAGGCATTTTCTATGGTGAGAAGGGTTTTACCACCCAAATATTGAGAGAACATTAAAAACTGTTGTTTTTCTTAATTTATAGATTTGTAAAATAAATAGTTCAAGCCTTAGGCAATCTACTATTTTAGGTTATATACAGATTGAGGATTCAAAAGTAAAAAACACATTTTTTTTTTTTTTGCTTGCTACCAAAGTAGCAAATGAAAATTTAACTTTTCATGACCTAAAATTTAAAGTTCCATGGGGGTAATACAGCTTTCAGAAACCTTGTCCATGATACAGTCACAGAGAAGATAAGCAACTGGATCCCAAAAAGAAAACTACTTGCAGCACAGAGTGACTATATGCAGCACAGCATTGCCTCTTTCTTTTATAAAACTGCATAGTGAAATCAAATATCCATTGTTGCTCTCCAGGAAGACCAGAGATTACCTACAAACAATTAAAGAAATGGCCCTTAGCTCCAACGTCTTCTCATTTATGTGGGACCTAAATAGCAATGGGAACCAGTAAAAGTTACACAAGAATGAAATGGTGACATATACTGTAGAAAGAACTTTTCACTTATGTTATAGTGAATTTATATATGTAACTTGATGAATAATGCCAACAACTATTCAACAACTGATGCTACAATTGTAATAATCAAAATAAGAAACTTTTTAAAATCTAAAATTTAATTGTATCATTAACCCATTACCATCAAGTCTCTAGATAATATAAATATATGGACCAAAAAAAAACTAAAAAAATAAAAAAAGGTTGTGCCCATTGCTATTGACAGTGATGCTGTGGATGATGACAAATATCCCCTTTCTCCCGATACCCATAAAATATCTCCCTAGTGAGAAGTAGAAAGTTGCAGATCCAATCCTATATGCTTACCTCCTTCATTCACAGTATTTGTAGTTTGTTTCCTGCATATAACAACATGGTCTTAAGTCCCAGAGACTTGGTTTCATTCTATGACAGCCAGTTAATGACTTTTTAAAAAATATAAAAGCCAAGCCAAGTACTATATATATATGTATGTATGTATATATGTATGTGTATGTATATGTATGTGTGTATATATGTATATATATACATATATATGTGTGTATGTATATATACACATATATATACATACATACATATACACACACACCAAGAACCGAACCCACTGTCGTCGAGTTGATTCTAACTCAGTGACCCCACAGAGTTTCCAAGGCTGTAAATCTTTATGGAAGCCAACAGCCATGTCTTTCTCCTGGGGAGCTGCTGGTGGTTTTCAAACCTCCGCTCTCTCTCTCTTTCATCAGTTAAGTGTGTGGAGATAACATCGTTAAAGTTGCTTATTATATCTTGCATTTTATATGAGAAAATCCTCAAATCACCATTGAATATAGGCCAAAATAACTAGATTTGTGGAAACAGGAGTATCCTTTAGGAGAAATAACATCAAAAAATTTTTTTTTGTTTATTTATTTTAACAAACATGGGTTTAATTTCATTATCTGCTTATTTTGTGGAGATTACTAATTTTGTGCTGGAGTATCCAATATTCACCTAATTCCTCCAGCTCTGTTGTGTCACAAACTAAAAGAGATGCTGTAGGAAGATCACTAATATTTGCTATGAAATGTTTCTTCAGTGGTCCCTAGGTGGACACAATCAATTTAGTTATGACAGCCTAGCTCATATTTTGTTAGTAAAAAGCCTAGGGAAAATTATGAAAATTCATTGTGTAATTTAAATGAGAAATTGTTTTTTGTAATGATTCCGTGTCCATACTTGCAATATTGAAAAAAAAGTGAAATCAGATTTCTATTTTAAATATCATTTTGAAATATAAGAAATACTTACAGAACTCTATGCTAAATATTGGAGAAAAAAATCTTATAAAACGTGTGTCTGTCATTAAATGAGTCACAATTTTAAAGCGATAGGACATATACACGTGGGTTCTCATATTGCTCTTCAGCTCACGGATGGTAAAATGACTAGACCTGCCGTTCCACCACTTCAGGATTCACTTTTCTTCTTTGTAGATGCTGTGCTTAATCTGTAATATTCATTCTATGTCTGAAAAATCTATAATATTGATTTTTTAGAGAAGGCTGGTGACCCTATTTAGACCAGTTGATCTAGAAGACAGCTGGAGCAGCCCCACCCCCATTCTTCCTAAAGTGTTTATATCACCAAAACACCGAGATCAAACCCAGCTTACATATTGGTCACACAAATACTTTAAAAAAAAAAAGAAAAAAAAAGGTCTTTTCCAAAATAACCATCCTTCTTATTCATAAAACGTTTTACCCCAGCGCCAATTTCTAGAGCTTGGTGCAAACAACTCGCGGGAGAGCCTGTGCTATTGCTCCCGCGGAGAAACCGATTTTCCTTACACATTTTAGGAAAAATAAGTTTATTTATATAAAGTTGAGAAGAAAAGAATGTCCAGAACAGTGCCCTGGAAGAAAGAATTACAAACGCAATGTGGGGAAATAGTATTTTTAAAGAAAACCTGAAAGTTGTCTCAATTTGACCTAAGTTATGAAGAGAGTTGGGGGAACCAGGAAAGTTTCAGGGTGCCAGTTTAGAAACTAGGTATAGCAAAAAAGGTAAGAATGAAGCCTGAGGCTTCTCGGATCAGTTTCCACCAAATCTCTAATAACTTCATGCCCAGATTTCTTATATTTTTCTCCTTTTTTAAGGGGCAAGAAACACAGCCACGCAGCAAAGCCGAGGAGCCCTGCTCCAGCAGCGCGGCGCGCCGAGCAGGGAACCAATCATCACTCAGCTTCTCTCTATATAAACCCCCAGACTCTGGCGCCGAAAACACGCCGTTCTGACAGTTTTTGACTTTAGTTTTTGGCTTTACTAGCAAAACAAAAGCATGTCAGAGACTGCTCCAGCTGCTCCTGCTGCTCCCGCACCTGCGGAAAAGACACCTGTAAAGAAAAAGGCAAAGAAAACGGGCGCAGCTGCCGGAAAACGCAAGGCGTCCGGGCCACCGGTATCCGAGCTCATCACTAAAGCAGTGGCTGCCTCCAAGGAGCGCAGCGGCGTGTCGCTGGCCGCGCTGAAGAAAGCGCTGGCGGCCGCAGGCTATGATGTGGAGAAGAACAACAGCCGCATCAAGCTGGGTCTTAAGAGCCTAGTGAGCAAGGGCACCCTGGTGCAGACCAAAGGCACCGGCGCCTCGGGCTCCTTCAAACTCAACAAGAAGGCGGCCCCCGGGGAAGTCAAGCCCAAGGCCAAGAAAGCCGGGGCAGCCAAGCCCAAGAAGACTTCGGGAACTGCCAAGAAGCCAAAGAAGGCGACGGGAGCGGCCACCCCAAAGAAGAGTGCCAAAAAGACCCCGAAGAAGGCAAAGAAGCCGGCAGCAGCTGCTAAGGCAAAGAAGGTGGCCAAGAGCCCGAAGAAGGTGAAAGCCAAACCCAAGAAGGCGGTCAAGAGCCCAGCTAAGGCTAAGGCCCCTAAGCCTAAAGCAGCCAAGCCGAAATCTGCCAAACCGAAGGCTACAAAGGCAAAGAAGGCGGCTCCCAAGAAGAAGTAAAGTGTGGAGGGTCCTCCTGCTTCAAACCTCAAAGGCTCTTTTCAGAGCCACCCATAAATCTCAATCAAAAGAGCTGAGCGATTGTAAGTCTACAATTGTGCGATGTCAGCGTATTTGACAATAGAAATTTTTAAATTCCCGCCCTGGTGTGATTGGCCCGTCTGGCTATCCGCCACTGCCCCCTACTGCGCAGAACAAACACGGCTTGTTAATTCGGCTGGGTCTTGTTGGCGTGGCGGGGCCCGGGTGGAGGGTAATACTTTGGTTTTGAACCCCCACTTTCCCTTGGCTTTAAGGAAGCAGCACTGCCTGGATATTTTTGGGCAGGTCACCCCCCACCCCCCGCGCGATGGTGACTTTGCGCTTGTTGAGACATTAGTGGTTGCGGATGGCCAGCTGCAAGTGGCGCTGGATGATGCGCTTCTTGACGCAAGTCGCACTGCCCGCCAGCTCCGGGATCTTGGCCGTCAAGTACTCCAGCACCGCCGCCAGGTGCACCGACGCGCCGTCCCCTTTCCCTCTCGGAGCAGTTCCTCTTGCGGAGCAGGCGGTGCACTCGCCCTACTGGGACCTGGAACCCAGACAGACAGCAGCGAGTTTTCGCCTTGGCCCGAATTTTGCTTGCTTGTTTACCTCGCCAAGACGTGTTAGTCCAGAATGAGCGCACTTCAATTTCAGAAGCAAAACTGAGGGAGGGGTTATTATAGTGTCCGGTTGGTTCGTAAAATCTGCTTTCCCATTGGCTTGCAGCCGATGAGATGCGAGTCAGCCAATCAGAAAGTGTCTCTGGACTTACATGCCCCTGAGAGTAAACACTGCACCAATCAGAGTTTTAGATACTAGAGTTCCTAGATGCTGTGAAGCAGTGTAAAGGCCTGCAAACCTCCTCCCCGCTCCCCACCCTCCGCCCCAAATCAATGGAATCCTTTTTTTGGGGGGCTACTGTCATTCAGCCTAAATCCACATAATTATTGCTACCACCTGGTGCTGAGTGAAAGTAAGTGTAAAAGGTGCCTCTGGGAATTTGATTTAATCTAGCCCCCTCTTCCCCAGATTCCTACCGCATAGATTGTTGAAATGGCCTAGGGAGCCCTAGCTAGCTGTCTAGGATCTTCCAGACAAGGGAGAGGGAAGGAAAACAAAAGAAAACCAACCCTTTGGGAGGACTGCATGATTGCTCAGGGATCTTCTGAAGATACGGTTAGTTACCAGGGCAACAAATGGGCTGTAGAAATACAGCTTGACCTGGACGTCCCACTATTTCCATTTTACATTTCACCCCTAGGACTGAGGTGGGTTTTTTGTTTGTTTTGCTTTTCATTTTGGATACCCAAAACCCGTTGCCATCGAGTCAATACCAACTCATAGCTACCCTACAGGACAGAGTTGAACTACCCCCATAGGGTTTCCAAGGAGCAGCTGGCTGAATGCTTAACCACTAGCTCCACCAGGGCTCCATTTTTTTTTTTTTTTTTTGATAGCCCACTTGATTTTACTGACAAAGCCTGAAAGAATCTGAGTTCTACAGACCTTTATGGGGACTATCAATTTGGATGGGTACAAATTACAGTTTTATTTTCACAAACCCTAAATGTACTTTATCATTCCCTTCAATTACAAGTGTAGGCAATCATTACCAATGGATTTAGCAGTATCTGGACTTCTTTGGAAACCCTGGTGGCATAGTGGTTAAGAGCTATGGCTGCTAACCAAAAGCTCGGCAGTTCGAATCCACCAGGCGCTCCTTGGAAACCCTATGGGACAGTTCTACTCTGTCCCATAAGGTCACTATTAGTCAGAATCGACTGGAGGACACCGGGTTTTTTTTTGGTTTGTTTGTTTTTTTGCGGGTGACTTTTTCACCAGTGGAAATCACAGATATTTTCCTATGACTACAGTTTTTACGGAGGGCTGGTATCAAATGGAGCCCTGTTGGCATAGTGGTTAAGAGCTTTGGCTGCTATATACAAGACTAACACTTCGAATTCACCAGCCGCTCATGGGAAACCCTATGCAGCAATTATTTTTTTTATTGTTATAGTTTAACTGAAAGTTTACAATTCAAGTTAGTCTCTCATACAAAATTTTATACATACATTGTTATGTGACCCTAGTTGCTCTCCCTATACTGTGACAGCACACTCCTCCTTTCCACCCCGTATTTCCCGTGTCAATTCAACCAGCTCCTGACCCTCTCTGCCCTCTCATCTCGCCTCCGGACAGGAGCTGTCCACTTTGTCTCATGTATCTACTTAAGCTAAGAAGCACACTCTTCATGGCTATCGATTTATGTCCCATAGACCAGTCTAATCTTTGTCTGAAGAGCTGGCTTCGGAAATGGTTTCAGTTTTGCACTAACAGAGTCTGAGGCTGTGTCTTCCTGGGTCCCTCCGGTCTCAGTCAGACCATTAAGTCTGGTCATTTTACTAGAATTTGAGTTCTGCATCCCACTTTTCTCCTGCTCCATCAGGGACTTTCTGTAGAGTTCCCTGTCAGGGCTGTCCTTGGTGGTAGCTGAGCACCATCTAGTTCTTCTGGTCTCAGGATGATGCAGTCTCTTGTTTATGTGGCCCTTTCTGTCTCTTGGGCTAATACTTTGTGTCTTTGGTGTTCTTCATTCTCCTTTACTCCAGGTGTTTGAGACCAATTGATGCATCTTACATGGCTGCTTGCTAGCTTTTAAGACCCCAGATGCCACTCACCAAAGTAGGATAACAAAGAATAAACTTTGTTATGCCAATTGACCTAGATGTCCCCTGAAAGCATGGTCCGAAGACCCTTGCCCCTGCTACTCTGTCCCTTGAAGTGTTTGATTGTATTCAGGAAACTTCCAGCTATGCTGACTTCACCGGTAGTGTGTGCTGTCCTTCCCTTCACCTAAGATAATTCTTGTCTACTATCTAGTTAGTAAATAACCTTCCCCCTCCCTCCCCACCCTTGTAACTATTAAAGAATGTTTTCTTCTGTGTTTAAACCTTTTCTTGAGTTCTGATAATAGTGGTCTTATACAATATTTGTCCATCTATGACTGACTAAATTCACACAGCATAATGCCCTCCAGATTCCTTCATGTTATGTTTCACGGATTCATCGTTGTTGTTTATCCTTGCATAATATTCCATAGTGCGAATATACCATAATTTGTTTCTCTATTCGTCCATTGATGGGCATCTAGGTTGTTTCCATCTTGTTGCTATCGTGAACAGTGCTGCAATGAACATGGGCGTGCATATATATGTGTGACGGCTCTTATTTCTCTAGGACATATTCCAAGAGTGGGATTGCTGGATCGTATGGTACTTATATTTCTAACTTTTTAAGAAAGTGTGAAATCAATTTCCAAAGTGGTTGTACCATTTTACATTCCCACCAATAGTGTACAAATGTTCCAGTCTCTCCACAACTTCTCCAGCATTTATTATTTGGTGTTTTTTGGATGAATGCTAGCCTTGTTGGGGTGTGATGGTATCTCACTGTAGTTTTGATTTGCATTTCTCTAATGGCTAATGATCGTGGGCATTTCTTCATGTGTCTGTTAGCCGCCTGAATGCCTTATTTGGTGAAGTGCCTGTTCATATCCTTTGCTCATTTTTTAATTGGGTTATTTGTCTTTTTGTTGTTGAGGTTTTGCAGTATCTTGTTGATTTTAGAGATTAGATGCTGATTGAATTCATCGTAGTCAAAAATTTTTTCCCAGTCTGTAGGTTGTCTTTTGACTGTTTTGGTGAAGTCTTTTGATGAGCATAATAAGTGTTTGATTTTTAGGAGTTCCCAGTTATCTAGTCTCTCTTCTAGTGCTTGTGCTTTGTTACTTATGGTTCATATTCTGTTTATGCCATGTATTAGGGCTCCTAGCATTGTCCCTATTTTTTCTTCTATGATCTTTATACTTTTTGATTTTATATTTAGGTCTTTGGTCCATTTTGAGTTAGTTTTGTGCATGGTGTGAGTTATGGGTCTTGTTTCTTTTTTTTTTGCATATGGATATCCAGTTATGCCAGCACCATTTGTTAAAGAGACTGTCTTTTCCTCAGTTAATGGACTTTGGGCCTTTGTCAAATATTAGCTGCTCGTAGGTGGATGAGCTTATATCTGGATTCTCAATTCTGTTCCATTGGTCTGGGTATCTGTTACCATACCAGTACCAGGCTGTTTTGACTACTGTGGCAGTATAAAAGGTTCTAAAATGAGGTACTGTGAGGCCTCCCACTTTGTTCTTTTCCTTGAGTAATGCTTTATTTATCTGGGGCCTCTTCCCTTTCCATATGAAGTTAGTGATTTGTTTCTCTATATTAAAAAATGCTGTTGGAATTTGGACCGGTATTGCACTGTATCTGTAGATTGCTTTGAGTAGAACTGACATTTTCACAATGTTGAGTCTTCCTGTCCATAAGCAAGGTATGTTTTTCTACTTACACAGGTCTCTTTTGGTTTCTTGCAGTAGTGTCTTGTAGTTTTCATTGTATAGGTCTTTTATGTTTCTGGTTAGATTTATTCCTAAGTATTTTAACTTCTTGGGGGCTATTGTAAATGGTACTGATTTGGTGATTTCCTCTCTGAAGTTCCCTTTGTTGCAGTAAAGGAATCCAACTGATTTTTGTATGCTTATCTTGTATCCTGATACTTTGCTATAATCTTCTATTAGTTCCAGTAGTTTTCTTGTAGATTCTTTGGAGTTTTCTGTGTATAAGATCATATCATCTGCAAATAGAGATACTTTTACTTCTTCTCTACCAATTTGGATGCCCTTCATTTCTTTTTCTAGCCTAATTGCTCTGGCTAGGACCTCCAGCACAATGTCAAATAAGAGTGGTGATAAAGGGCATCCTTGTCTGGTTCCCATTCTCAAGGGGAATGCTTTCAGACTCTCTCCATTTAGAATGATGTTGGCTGTTGGCTTTGTATAAATGCTCTTTATTATGTTGCGGAATTTCCCTTCTATTCCTATTTTGTTGAGAGTTTTTATCATGAGTGGATGTTGGACTTTGTCAAATGCCTTTTCTGAATCAATTGATAAGATCATGTGTTTATTGTCTTTAGTTTTATTAATGTGATGGATTACACTGATTGTTTTTCTAATGTTGAACCATCCTTCGTAACTAGTATAAATCCCACTTGATCACGGTGAATTATTTTTTTGATATGTTCCTGAATTCTAGTGAGGATTTTTGCGTCAGCGTTCATGAGGGATATTGGTGTGTAATTTTCTTTTTTTGTGGTGTCTTTACCTGGTTTTGGTATCATGGTTTTACTGGCTTCATAGAATGAGTTTGGGAGTATTCCATC